TCCCAGGCAGCCCCTCTTAGAGCCAAGGTTTTGCCCACCCACAGTCAGTCCTTGTCTGCCAACCAACACCCCGGCCTTAGATTCCTTCCTGATTGCCCAGCCACACCAAACCTTAGCTCTGCTATCCTTTTGCACCTGCAGATCTGTCACTGAGATCTTAAGAGTCTGTCCAGCCCCTTGCCCCTCAGATACATCTGCAGTCCTACTAAGTGCCAGACACCAGCCACGCCAGCCCCTCCTTCGTTCTTCACATTAGAAGGCAGGCGTCATCATTCTTTCTTCAGCTGTGACCTAGAGCTGATTCATTACATACCTTACATGGTTCTAGGTGGTGGGTGTTTTACACTCGAGTGTTGCCTCCCTCCCCATCTGCTATGCACACCCCTGACTGGCATCAGAAAGCAAGATCCTAGAGAACTGACAGAGCTCCTTTCTGGGTTCATCTTTGATCCTGTTCCCTACATGTTTGACCTAAGCTGGTGCCCAGTTCCACTCCTGCCATACCCGTTCTCGTCCAGGAGCTGGCAAGATCAGGATGTAGTCCATAGCCATGGAGCAGCCACCCCTATACCTGCAGCGTGGCTCCTTCAGCGTGGGTGCTAACCAGTCATACTCGGCACCTCCAGTTCCGCTCACACTCCCGTTCTCCCTTGCTCAGGGGCCCTGTCTGGTTTCCATGCATCTGTCTATCATCAGCACCCAACACCTGTCCCCATCTGGTGTTGAGGGTTTGTTCTCAGAAGACACCCCCCAGTGTCCACTGCCTGCGCCTCTGGCACATAGTCATGGTTGGAGGAGCGCCTCAATCCAACGACTCCGCTTAGCCCAGGGACTCCTCACAAAGGTTCCTAGGGATTTCATTGTGTCCGACCTTCCACACAGTCCCCTCTGTGCCTTTCTCCCTCCCCTTCATTCCTCTGCCAGGATCTTGCCAAGGGGCTGCGGGGTGGTGCACTTGCTCCTGCCCGATAGGATCCTTCCCCATTTCATCCAGCCCACTGCCAGCACTGCCTGCCCCTGAGCAAAGCTGCACACATCATAAATGTCAGGGTTGCAGCTGTCCCCGAGGGGAAGAGCCTGAGGCATGAGGTCATGGGCTTACCCACCTTCCAGGGCAGAATTGAGAGAGCCCTCTGGGCGGACAGCATCCCCCTACTCCCTCCCACCTCCTGGGAGGTACCCCACAAAAGGCCCTTGGTGCAAGGACAGCAGAGCCCTTGGCGAGACTGCCACCCCCCAGGCTGGGAGCAGCTGAGTAGGGGTGTCAGGGAGGGGCTGCTGCGGCTGCTGCCTAGGGGACACCAGCTGGCTTGACCCCCCCTACCCTAGCGGCCCAGGGGGTGATGCCACCACTAGCCTGCTGTTTATTCAGGCGGCTGGTGAGCTTTGCCATTCCCTGGGGCCAAATAAACTATTGCTCCTCCAAATTCTCCAAGCCAGACCCGCTCCCATGCTCCTCTGGGGAAGCCCGGAAGAATGGCTCCCTCACAGAAAGCAGGAGGAAGACTGAGAAAAAGCCCTCTAGGGCCTAGAGACCCAGGGATCTGGGAGGGCAGGGCGGAACAGGGGCAGCATCTAAGGGGCTGGTCCTTTACTCACAGCATGTCTCACACTGGGCTGATGGAGACTGTCCCAAGGTGTCCAGGGAGCAGGTGACACTTGGGCCATGCCATCCAGGATGCCCCATGGTGCTAACGCCTTGCATGGCTTCCTGGACAGCAGGTGTGGGCTGCCTCAACCCTCTCCCTAGAGAGACAGCATCCACGGCACCAAGGAGTCAGTGCCTATGTGTTCACATCCCTCTGACTTCATTGCCCCATGGCACTGTTTCCTAGCAGATGTTGCCATGTTTGCTGCCTAGTCTTTGCTTCACACCCCCACTAAGGATGGTGTTTGCTGGGGTGGGGACCTCAACCATCTTACTCATCCTTGGCAGCCCAGTGCCAGCACTGAGCTCGTGAATGCATTAGCGAATGACTGAAGCGCTTGGATCCCTGGCCCTGCTGGGCAGTATGAACTGCTTTAAGTGAGGTCCCCGCAGGAGGGAATTCACAGGTGCTTCTCTCTGCAGGTGCTTAGGGATTACAGATATGCTTGAGCCAAAAGGATGGGGAATTTCTCTTATCCGTTCCCTTGCCCATTGACCCCTGTAACACAGCATCTCACTTGCACATTTCTGTTCCTTTATCCCACCACTGTCCTCTGGTTTGAGGCAATGGTCCTCAGACCTTCATGGGTGTGCAGAAGACTTGGGAGTCATGTTAAAACTCAGGCAGTGCTTCCTCAGGGGCAAGGGGTACCCACGACTGCATCTCTGATAAGTCCCTGCAGGATGTTAGTGTCGCTGGTCTCTGGGCCACCTGCACCTGAGCAGTTTAGATCTGAGGGAGTCACACCTTTGTCTGCATGTGCTCTGCTTCTCCTGTCTCCTGAAACCGAGCTGCAAGTGTTCTCTGGCTGCTTTGTCGTGCTTGGTGCTGCGAGGGCTGACTGTGTCCCAGCCTTCCCTGGGCTCTCTGTGGTGTCCATGTGAACTGAAGAAGTGGGAACAGCAGGCCAAATTTTTTTGAAGCTTTTTTTTTTTTTTGAAAGGCAGATTTACAGAGAGAAACAGAGAGACCTTTCAACTGCTGATTTGCTCCTCAAAGAACCACAACAGCTAGGACTGGGCCAGGCCAAAGCCAGGAAACAGGAGCTTCATCCAGGTCTCCCACATGTGTACAGGGTCCAAACACTTGTGCTGGCTTTTATACTTTCTCAGGCACATTTGCAGGGAGCTGGATCAGAAGTGGAGCAGCATGGGGCATGAATTCAAGATGTTGGCATTTGAGATGTTGGCATCACAGGCAAAAGCCTAACGTGCTACGCCACAAAGCCAACCCTCCCCCATTGTTATTATTATTATTAGTGATCTTGGGCAAATCACATCTTTACCGTGTGCCTCAGTTTCTCTTTGTGAAATGCAAGGTTAGGCTTCAGTTTTGGGATGTGTTCCAGCTGTAACATTCTATGGTTATTTCCAAGCAAATCTGTGCAGATTCACTCATTTAAGCCTCCTGCAACCCATGGAAAAAGTGCTAGTATTATCCCCATCTTAAGATGCTGGAGACATCACAGACTAGCAGCACAACATTGAGGTGTGAAGACAAAGTTTCTTCTAGAATCCTTGCTCTTAGCCATCGCACTTGACCTCCCTGGATTATCTTGATCAGGAATGATAGCACAATCAGTAAGACGACTCATGCTGGGTGTACTCAAAATGAAACTGCTTTCTAATGGGCTTCAGCTCTCACAGTTACTTCTGTGCAATTTAGAGAGATAGAGTTGGCCCGAGCCCTGTGGAACACACTGAGTCCTTCCAGGGCCCTAGGTCTGGCATACAGTGAAATACCAGAAGAATGGCATGGCCAATGCTTCTGGGACCTGCTTAGTTCAACACACACCTATTGGGCTCCTCTGAGCAGTCCCTGTGGGAGCCACTGGAGCCACAGTGTCTGGACCTTATGATCCATGTTGATAGGCACTCATCTCCCCGGGCTCAGAGCCACTATGCTGCCCTGGAGGACATTAGCGTCACACCAGACTGCAAGACTGTGCCTGGGAGTGTCTGAACTTTTACACTTGCCATGTTTGTTTATTAAAGACAGACAAAAGGCACACACACCCTTAATTTTACATGGTTGCTTCGTCTACGGACATAAACAAGACCCAAAGGAGGCCATCACGTCGGACACTGCAGATGACGTGAAAGAGGAGGCTGTTACAGGGCTGATGCAGCTTTCGTGTGATCAAATCCCATCCGAAATTTGCTTTCTCCAAGTTTCCTTTTTAAATATCTTTTTAAAAAGAGTTATTTGCTTTAATTTGAATTGTATATTTGTAGAGAAAGAGACACACAGAGAAAAGTCTTCTATCCACCGGTACACTCCCCAAATGGCCTCAATGGCCGGAGCTGAGCTGATCTGAAGCCAGGGGCCTGGAGATTCTTCCAGGTTTCCCAGATGGGTTCAGAGTCCCAAGACCTTGGACCATTTTCTTCTGCTTTCCCAGTCCATAAGCAGAGATTTGGGTGGGAAGTAGAGCAGCTGGCACTAGAACTGTTGCCCATTAGGGTGGCAGCATCACAGGGTGGAGGATTAGTCTGGTATGCTACTGAGCCAGCCCCTCCAGAGGTTACTTCTGACTCCTCCAACCCTCTTTGAGTTCACTGATCCTCACATGTAGCTCTTACAGAACCTCCTGTGGTGGTCACCATTGCCATTCAGTCATCATTGTCATCCCTAACCCCTACAACCTAGGGTATTGCAAGAGTTTCTGCCATGGCTGCCTCTTTCCCACTCACAAGCACCCAGCAGTGTTGGATGACTGACATGTTACTTTGGCCCTTTGGTGTGAAAGACCAGAACTTTTACAGGTCTGTATTGTGGCTGATTGCCAAGTGGGGGTCATTTAGGGAAACCACTTTTACGAGAAAATAGGAAAGTTTGAAGCTAGCCTAGCATTCTGCTGTGTAAATGATACTGCCAAAGTGCTGGGGAGGAGTTGGTGCTCATTAGAAAACTCCACTCACTAGCCTTGTTTGGCCACATCTTCTAAAATTGCTCAAAAAATCCTACTTTCACTAATTCTCATGCTGATTCCCATGCATGGGGTGCAAGGAAACAGAACCTTTTATGATGTTTTGCATCCATAAGTAAGGGAGGATTAAATATAAACAATAGAATAAGCACAAATGTCGTGGTGGTCCAGGGACACAACAATGTTATTATCAGAAAGTCCGTGGCAGTTTGGGCAGTATTTTCAGAGCTGGATGACCCTGGAAATGCTGCTGGGGTGCCTGATACCCATCACCAGACCATGGCTGGGCACACTGTTGGGCTCTGGTCACTTGCTGACTGATTCTCAATCTGTTTTCTGTGTCCCCATTCTCTGGCTGCCAGCTCATCCTGTTTGTCTACAAAGCATGTGAATAGATCCTGTTTTTAAATGTTTCTTCTCAGGAAGTTTCTAAAAACCTCACCAAGGAGAATGAGCAAATCAAAGAGGATGTGGAAGAAATTCGAACTGAGATGAATAAGCGAGGCAAGAACTGCTCCAGTGCCATTCGAGAGGGCATGCCAGACATCCGCTCAGCCCTGCAGAGGGATGCAGCCGCGGCCTACGCCAACCCAGAGGTACAGCCCAGTCGCCATGGGGGGGCCTCTCATCACAGCCCCTACCTCCACGAAATGGGAGAGCCACATCTCTCTTTTGCAAGGAGCATTGTAGGGTGCAGCACATTTCCAGTTCTGGTTTCATCTCATCTGTGTGATTCTTGTGTGGGTTGGATGCGCAGGCGTTGATCCCCTCTGATTTCACACTGAATCCCAGAAAGGTTCAGTAAGGACTCAAATCAGAGTCTCCTGTGTCCCACGACATTCCAACCCCTTTTGTGAGTGGCTTTTACATTTATAAGGAGGGCATGACTGCTGGCTTTGCTGGAGCCATCCGGCATCTCCTGCTGCTCCCCTGACACAGTTATTAATAGCAGCTCATTTCACTCACAGAAATGTTCCAGTTTGGAAATGATAAATTATGTGGTCCCCTTTTTTATGAGGGACTTTGCAATTTCTACTGTATTTCATTACTGCGACATGTGATCGGCACCACAGCCTTGGAACGCAGGCTGGGTGGAGAGCCAAACCTTCATGTTGCAGATGAGGAAACAGCTCCTGCGTTGCCCCTGCTCTCCTTGCTCCACTCTGCCATGCAGGCAAATATCTCAAGACTCTGTCCCATCCCACTCAGGTGTGTTCCATGCAAAGTTTCCTGTGTGTGAAATAGGACAGTCTGGTATGACTTAGGTGATTCATTTGCCTCGCCTAAAAGTGCCTCCCCATGTGTGTCTGTTATTTTTATTCTAATCACGAAGTTATGTTTATGTGCCAATGGTTAAATATGTTATTATTTAATTTATTCAGTCATCTCATAAATTGATATATCCAGGAAATAGGCATTCTAGGAAAGAGGACCCACAAGAGTAGAAGAGGACCCTGGGAAATTCTGGTGGCAGGATTAGAAAAGTCCTGTTAGCAAGGCAGGTCTGTGTGAAATATAAAATGTAGTGGGGGAAAGTCCCTGGGCAGGCAGGGGACAGCAGCACTTAAGAAAGAGACCTGGCTTCCTTTATTAGGTTGCCAAGGGTGTGTGGAGTCAGTGATGGATGGCAGGCAAGTTGGTGTCCAGGAGTAGGATCCAGCGATGTTATTAGGGGGGTTCCCTCAGTCTTGGGCAATCATTGTGGATGTTTTGGGCAGGACCTGGCAGAGACAGAGCCCCTGGACTAGTGTCTTTGTGTGTGGTGGTGTGAAGAATGTGAGGACTGTTACTTAGGTCATCAGGCGTCAAGCTAGGAGAGCAAGACTGGGTGATGAGGAGGGCTCTGAGCCGCTGGCTGGAGGAGCTATCCAGCTGTGGGTTCAGGAAAGCCTGGACACACATGATCTGACAGCAGGGTGACAGGCACGCCAAGGCCAGGGCATGAAGCCCTGAACTCTCCCCAATCTGCAACTTGAAATAAAAACAATTCCAAACCATAACACAAATATAAGGGAGGCCAGTAATTTCCTAGCTTTTCCCATGATGACTACTTAGATGCTTTCTTTGGGAATATCATCTTCCTTCAAAAATGATTTCTATTCTCATGTTGGGTGCCCCAGACATGCTGGCTACCAAGCATGTGTTTAGTCTACATGGTGGGTCACCCATCAGTGACTGGGTCTGAGCTCACAAACCAAACTATCAGGGGACATTGGCACTGGATGGGGCTCTGAAGGCACCTGCTCAACACATCGGTGGCCCTGCATCTTTTATCTCCTTCTCCTCAGCTGGCCCAGTTGCCTGGTGGAACCAGGCACTCCTTGCCTCGCTGGTTCCCAGTATCCCATTTGGCCAGGCTGGCGAGTTCGTCTGGTATCTTGATGACACATTGTGTGGTATGTCCAGGAACCCAGCTCAGATTTCCCAAGGGCAAACAGCAAACCAAATCAAACACACCAAACTCCTTTTCTCCTTGCTCAGCAGCATGCTTTCCTCAGCCTCGGCTTCCCATTCATCACACTGCTGAAGTTAGCAAAATCCACACAGACCAGGGTGGTTAGGCAGAAGGGGAAGTGGTGAAGCAGACCCACATGTGGGCTGGGCCTCGCCCTTCCCATCTCTTGTCTCATTAGTGAACCCCATGTGGAAAGAGAGGCGGGTAGGGGCAGGGGTTTGGCTGTTTATTTTCAGGGTTCTTGTGGATCGTGTCAGGGGTTTTTTTCTTTTTCTTTTTCTTTTTCTTTCTTTCTTTCTTTCTTTCTTTCTTTCTTTCTTTCTTTCTTTTTTTTTTTTTTTTTTTTTTTGAATAGTGACTGGTCATTTTTGTTGGCAGCCTGTCTCAAAGATGATCCTGGCTTACAGGGTTGGCAGGGGACTCCAGGGACTGGTTGGGAGTTGGCATATTGGCTGCCAGAGGTTGAAGTCATACAACAAGACTCTTGGATTGACAGAGAGAGGAAATCAAAGCTTAGTGGGTGCAGCTGCTGCCTGGTGAAGCCTGTCGCCAGTGGATCCAAGGAAATTATATATTCCCTGGCAAAGGCTGTCCATGCTCTTGCTCCATCCTCCTGGGCTGGGACAAAAAACTGGAGTTCCTGCCCTGCCCTGAGAGCCTGGAATTAAAGACAGTTCTTGGGGTTGGCCACAAAGGAATGACGCCTTGGTTCTGCAATGCAGAGGGAGACCAAGGCCAATCATCAGATGCCTCTCAGCGTCTGAGACCAGAGTTGTGGCCGGGGCCTCTTGTCAGCCACCAGGCAGTTCTTGCCAGTGGGAAATGACAGTTCTCTGCAGCCTGCTGGGCAGCAGTCAGTCCATGGCACTGAGGACTTGGGCACCAGGGCGAGTTTTTGGACAGCTGATGAAGTGGTCTCATGGTCATGGCTGTAGTGAGGTAAGTGGGAGGACACTGGCTCTGAAGCATGCAGTCCTGGACCTTGTTACTGATAGGATGACTTAGTTAATGCTCTCCCAGCTGCTTAGTTGGCCTTCAACCAATTGCTGGGTGATTGAAGGAACCCCTGGCTTCCTTATCTATCGAACATGGATGGCTGCCTTGCTCATTGCTCTAAGAGCTAAAATAGGCGAAAGGAATATGGCCATGACAGGTACTCACTGAAATGTCACAAACAACAGCCAGGTATCCCCTGCATCTGCAGTCAAGAATGAGGAATGGAGGGAGGAAGGAGCACCCATAGGGGTGGGTGCTGCCCTGGGCACAGCTGGGCACGCCTGACCTGTTGTTGCTTCTGGGCATCTTTGGCCTCAGCCAAAAGAGGCAGGTGAAACAGTGTCACCTGCCTTCCCAGAGCCTATCACTACTGTGTGTTGGGCAGAGAGACACGCATGAATAGGAGCTGTCCTATCTGTGATACTATGCAGCTAAATCCTCATGTCATGGGAAAATCAAGTACAGTTTTTGGGGTGTGGCTGAAAGTAAGGATTCTGGGCTTTCTGGGGGCTGATGTGAAAGATCCAGTAAGACCCTGACTTGTCTCCTGCTGCACAGAGTAGGCTGTGGTGACAGGGTCCCCATAGCAGACGAGGAGTGGTAGTAGAAGGACTTGCTCTGCCATGCAGCTCTGTAGTCAGCAGGAAGTTCACCAGAGGCCTAGGCCCACAGGACTTGAGGGAGCTCAGCCACCTGCTTCTGGCCTGAAAAAAGGGTATTGGGATGGCTTAGGGGCCTGGTTCCCATGATGCTCCTCTGGGGCTAGACCCACTTGCAAGTGGCCTGACTTGGAGCACAGTCAGCTCACAGACTCTGTGCCTAAGGTCCTTTGCTTTCACAGATGGGGTTGATAATTCTGGGCAGGAGCGTGACTGGAAAGACCTACAAGAGAGCAGGATACCCCACTGGGCAGTGTGACAAATTAAAGCGAGCCCCTTGGCTCTTGTCACCCAATGGGCCAGCAGATCTATGAAGGACAGGACAGTCCTTCTTCATAAGAATGCCCAGTGGCATTCTTATTGTGCCATCAGGATGTCCATATACAAGGTCATGGGCTGCCCACTGGAAATCACTGGGCTTAATGAGATCAAATGCTGGCCACAAGTAGAAACAGCACCTTGGGATTTATTAGGATTCAAAAAACAGTTTCCCAGTTAGGGAGCACTCATCCAGGAGTCTTGAGTAAGAGGTGATCTCCGCCCTTTCAGATTTCCATTGTCTGCAGATACACCAGCACTCTTAAGTGATGCCAATGAAAGTAGGCTAGGAAAGGTGTTGTGATAGAAGCATGGGCTTGTATCCATTCAGTGTGTTCTGCACAGAGTAAGAGACCCAACTCCAGTGGCTTAAACAGTAGAGAATTCCTTTATTCTGACACGTAAAGGAGCTTTGGAGGCAGACAGCTCAGAATCTCCTCATGGTCACAATACAGCTGCTCAGCTCCAGCCATCCTCTTCGTGGAGAAATAAAGAAGTGAGTGAAAAATGTTTCCAGTTAAGCCATCCTCCCCCTCCCCATGCTAAGGAATGTTTCTAGAAGCTCCTCCCACTGACTTCTACCTATACCACACTGACCAGACTTCAGTCCCACAGCCTGTGTCACCAAAACAGTTCTCCATTAGTTAAGGGACAAAGGGGGAGAGGAGTCGGATGTTGAGAAGTCCTTGTCACAAAGAAAAAGAAAAACCTAGGGAGGAAGGAGGAATTCTGGATGAGAATTTGCTTGGGGGCCTGAGTTTTGGCTGAGCCCTGAGGAGTGGGCAGATTTCCATCAGTCACTGCATGTCCAGGGAAAGAGGGTGTAATGACAGAAAACACGGTCTCAACAGAGACCCACCTGCTCAGGAGAGCCAAGGGGCACAGGCAGCAGTGAAGTCACTGGAGTACAGGGGGGCTGGGAATGAGAGAAGAGGATGCCTCATGGTTCAAGGTCAGCTTCTAAGAGCTTGAATGGCCAGGCCAAGCACTTGGCGCTTTATTCTGTGTGCAGGAACAGAGCGTTTGGGGGAAGATGAGTGAGTTGTGGTTTACACAGCCCTGTCTGATGGCTGTACCAACACTCATGCTTCTTGATGAGGTGTCACACGCTAGGGTTAGAGTTAGGATTAGAGAGTAGGGTTAGGGCAAGGGTTAGATTTAGGGGTTAGGATCAGAGGTCAGGTCTAAGGTTAGGTTTATGATTAGAGGTGAGGTTAGGGTTAAGGTTAGGACTAGGGGTTAGGGTTAATTAGGGGACAAGGATAGGATTAGGGTTAGGGTTAGAGGCTAGGAGCTAGGGTTAGAGTTAGGTCTAGGGTTAGCTTTAGAGTCTATGGAAAGGATTGGGGGGATTTGGGCTAGTATTAATGTTAGGGTTAGGTGGGTTAGGGTTTTGCTGGCCCAGCCAATGCCCCCTTGCTTTCTTATGGATCTATCTGGAAACAGCTTACTCTAGATCTAATTGACCCAGCATCACTAGGCCAGAGCTGAGAGCAGAACCACTTTCTGGGCAGTTGGCATTTGGTTAGAGACATTGATTCTGGAGTCACACTAGCTGGTCACATCCTGCCGTGTAGCCTTTTGTTGGGCCTTGGGCAATTTGTATGGTTTCTCTGCTTCCTGATCTTAAATGTGAATTATTTCTGGGACTGATGAAGAAGAGTGTATCATTAATGATTATGAACATATTCAGCATGCTAACAGGCCAGGCTCTGAGTGAGAGCTGTTGTTATTATAGCATGGCCATTGCTACAGCATCACCCCTGTCTGATTGCGCTGCCCTGGCCTCCCCTTGTGTCTCCTCTTCCAAGCAGTATGAAGAGCGTTTCCTCCGGGAAGAAACCGTGTCCCAGCAGATCAGTTCCATCCAGCTCCTGCAGACGAACCCTCTGGCCCCGCCTGAAGTGGTGACACCACAGCGGCCTTCGCACCGGCAGGTGCACCTGAGGGGCCATCCAGCCTCCAAGCCCACCGTCATCCGGGGCATCACCTACTACAAAGCCAAGGTCCCTGATGAAGAAAATGACATCGAAGAGCCACGTGAGTTGGGGCCAGGCAGGACGGGGAAGGAGATGCCCTGTGGGCCAGGTGCAGCCATGTCTTCCTTGCAGCTTGCTGAGTCTCCCTGGGCAGGTCACTTAGCTTCTTTGGACTGACAGAATGGAGCATGACTGAGCCTGAAGGGCCTGCAGGATGATGAGATTGAGGTTTGGATGCAATGATGTACAGAGAGGCACACAGTGCGTCTCCTGCCTGTCCCGGGTGCTCCTGAGGCCCTGTGCTTCCTGACAGAGCTTCTAGCACCTTCTCGTTTGATCTCTGCCTGTCGTAACTCCTCAGCAGGAAACAGATGTGCTGTTCCTCAGTCCCCATCTGGTTCCCTTAATACCCCCTCTTCCTGCGTTCCCTGCACCACCTGCCTCTGCCTCTTGTCTCCTTTATGTTTTCCTTGGGGGAACTGCATGAGGTCCCTGCTGTTCTCTCCCTACTCTGCTGAAGGGACTTTCTTCCCACCTCACCTCTAACACTGCAGCCTCCGGTCGTATCTCCCTGTTTTTCTTTCCCTCTGTCTGGGTTTTCTCCTCCCGACAGCTGGCATGATTGCTGTGCCCATTTTTAGCTGTGTTTTTATGTTATTGATTTGTGGGCATTCTTTACATATTTTGGACCCTAGCCCTTTGAGATCATAGGTACTGCAAGTGCTTCTTCATCGCTGTGGCTTGCGCTGCAGCTCTGGAATGGTATTTTTAATGAGCACACAAAGTAAATGGAGTAACTATGGTTTTTTTTTCTGCCAAAATTCTCTGTATCTTCCTAAGAAATTTTTACCTCTCATCTCTGCTCAGACCCCTGTAGTCTCTCTCCCATTTCAGTCAGAATAAAAGTCGAAGTCCATACCCAGCCCCAGCCATGCACAATCTGGCTCCTGTTTCATCTGTTGCTGCACCTCCAGTTACACGCATACTCTCAGCCTCATCCACACTGGCCACCGCCGTGCTCCTGGAGTTCAGTGGGCATGTTGCGGCTTCATAGCCCTTGCACGGCTGTTACTTTGCCAGAGTCCTCCCACTGCACCTGTAGCTGCTCCTGTAGCTCATTGCTGCCATTCTGGAAGTCCCATGCTGAGTACTTCCTGCTCAACCGTCTGGACTCACCTTCCCCTACTCCGCCTTTCCCCCGTAGCACCTTTAGATGTACAGTCTGCCTATTTAGGTCTCTATCAGCAGGGAGGAGCTCTGTGAAGTCTGGGATCTGTACAGGTCTCATGATTATACATGTTGTCTGAATGCTTGTTGGCCCAGTGATTGATGACTGCCTCCCCAGCCAGCAGGGTTCGCAGCCCAATTGTGCATTGAGAGCCCTGAGCAGGGGCTGCAGCCTATTCAGAAAGACCCTGTAGGAAGGACAGATTCCTTTCCTTTATATCTCCCACCACATGTTTCTTCTGAAATCCTAGCTGGCTCCATCCCTGAGTCAGGTCACCACACTGCACAGAGGAGCACCTCTTGTGTACCTACCAGTTGCCACTTGTTTTCAGTTAATGGTGGTTCCTCTGCCTTGTGCTTGCTTCACAGATGATGAGCTGTTCAGTGGTGAAAATGGAGTGGATTTGCTGATTGAAGATCAGCTCCTGAGACACAAAGACCTGCCCACTAGTGCCACGCGGAAGCCCACAGCCACCTCTCAGGGAACCACCAGGACCACTGACCCAAGTACCCGGGCCATGCCCTCCTCCCCAGCGCAGCCCCCTGCCTCCCCCTCACCTGCCAGCTTCCCCAGCCCTGCTCTCCCTGCCTCTGCTCAACAGCTCTCTGCAACATTCCACACCTCCTCTGTGGTCCTTCCAGACCCTCTCCAGGAGACGGGCCTTCAGCCTTCCACGCAGGAACCAGCCACCACCGTGGCCCATGCGGCCACTGCACCACCCGTGGCTCCAGCTTTGCCAGCATTGGCTCCTGAGGATGCTCCAGAGGAAGCCACATTTACAGCAACGGCTCCTCCCACCACCGTCAGGACAGACTTGCCAGGCAAAGCCCGTGGGACCGTGCCTGACAGCCCCACCCTGAGTCCTGAAGAAGAAGATGACATCCGGAATGTTATAGGTGAGCTCATTTGGCCTGGCTGAGGTGTCCTGGACAGCCTCTGCTGAACCTAGACATAGGTTGAAAGGGGAAGGAGGACTCAGATGGTCAGGTTCATCTTCTAGAAAGACAAGTAGAATTACACTTCAGAGTGATGACTGCCTTTACCATTCAGGGTTTACACACTCAAAGTGTGTCCACAACAAGGGTGGGACCGCCTTTACCTTATTAATCAAATAATAAGTGAGGAAACAGAGCACTCCCACCTGCTGGTTCATAAATCACCCCCTCCCTACTCAAGCAAGGCTGCCTGCAGTGACACCTGGCAGGGGCCAAAGCCAGAAGCCCAGAACTCAGTTGAGGTCTGACTCTTGAACCATCAACGCTACCCACCAGGATCTACATTAGTAGAGCACAGAGGTCAAGAGTAGAGCTGGCTGTTAGACCCCGTGTGGGACACAGGTGTCTTAACCAGCTGCTTAGCCACTAGGTCACACACCTGATCCCCCTCTTCACTAAAATAGATATTGAACTTGGTGGAGCTGAGGTCTCACCTTCATCAGTCCGTTTTACAAGCATTTGTCAAGTACTTTGATACATATTACTGTATCTAGTGATAACTCAGCTAAGTTTCCTTATTGGTGGAAAGTTCTAGAATCATAGCATAGTGGGAGCCAGCACAATCTCACATGAGTCCTAGACTTGAGGGACAGTGGAAGTAGTATTGTATCACTCTGATGAAGGTTCACTGAGTTGGGGTTTGAAGGATGAGTAGGAGTTTTCTCATCAGACTGTTGGGTCTGAAGAAACAAGTTGTATTCCAAAAGCAGAGAGAGCATCAAAATACTTTCTGAAAACTAAAGCTCATCTGACAGAAGACCTGGTTGGAACTGTCCTCTCCTTTTTCTTTTGGAAGCCTCTTTCCCAACCCCTCCTAAAATAAGGTTCCAGCTACTGCCAGAGAGGAGGTAGGCCAAGGGGTATCTATGGGGTCTCATCTTGGGCATGGCTAGCTACAGGACTTGGTCAATCCCTGTTTTTCTCTGGTGAAGTCTGAGGTTTGCTAAGGACCCAATTCTTTCATGATAGTCTGCAATGTTCTGCAGGAGGTCTGCTGGGCCGCAGAATAGCAAGAGAGTCCTATTGGGGGTGCGCGCACACACATACAGAGAAAAAGAGAGAGAGAGAGAGAGAGAGAGAGAAACCCAAAAGTCCAGAATAATGGCAATTTGGGAATAGAGACATTGTCAGTAAAAATGAGCCTCAGGGCAAAAATCTCAGCAGTCCTGGCCTGGGTTTTGCTGAGCAAGAGAGCAAACCTAGGGTCACAGAGGTTGGGGTGAGAGGAGGTGAGAGTGTTTTCCTTGCCACAGAAGGCTGATCCTCGCTGCACAGACAATCCAGGCTTTGAAACTGTGTAAGCCCTATATTCTCCAGCTCACTGCCATTCTTGGGTGGGAGGAAGAGGCTGGCTGGGAGATTTGGAAACCTGCCCTCACTACCTCTCTACAGCTGGCTGGACCACCAACAGTGAAGAGAGGCTGCAAGTAGGACATGCCAGCTTGTGGAGACTTTGGGGGATGGTGTTGGCCAGCCAGGGAGTCTCTTGCTAGCCGAGTATCGAGTTCTCTGCCATCTCCACAGCCCACCTCCAGCTGAATTCCACTCTCCTCTCCACCTGCCTCCCTTGAGTTTTACCTCAGCCGTCTCTTCTGATGTGGCATGTATCTTTCTGGGCTTCTTGGGGCTCTGTGTGCCTCCAACACCCTGTGTCCTGGCAGCTGATCAGCTGGTAGCAGGAACTGAGGGATACAGGCATGTCTTCTGCTGTTGCCCAACAGTCCAATAAGGTAGAAAACATCATGGTACAGAGGATATAAGGTTTGCTTAAAGGCCAGCCTGTATGAGACTGGCACTGTGGCTCAACTGGCCAATCTTCTGACTGTGAGCACTGGTGTCCCATGTGGGCACTGGTTTATGTCCTAGCTGTTCCACTGACCATCCAGCTCACTGCTTATGGCCTAGGAAAGTGGTGGAAAATAGGCCAAGTTCTTGGGACCCTGCACCCATGGAGGTGCCTGACTTCAGATGACCATGGAGGCTCCTAGCTTTAGTTAGTTGAGCTCTGGCCATTGTGGCCATTTGGGGAGTGAACCAGTGGATGGAAAATCCTTCTCTGTAAAATCTGCCTTTTCAAAAAAATTAATTTTTAAAAAAGGGGGTAATAGTCTGTAGAGTTTTCCAGAAAGTCTGAAATTCTTGCTTCATGTATCTACTGCAGGCGAAACTTAGAGGTTGTGTTTTCTCCAGATATCTAGAGTTGACACAGGAGGTGGCCCAGGGAAGAAAGATTTGATGAGGCAGGTGATGTGAGTTTGTTTCCAGGAATCTTTTCTTTTTTTAATTGTTTATTTAAAAGGCAAAGTTAGAGAGGGAGGGAGGGAGGGACAGAGACCTTCCGTCCACTGGTTCACTCCCTAGATGGCCACAGTGGCTGAAGCTGGGTCTATCTAAAGCCAGGAGCAGCCATGACATCTTCCGGTTCTCCTTGATGGGGGCGGGGGCACAAGCCTTTGCACCAGCTTCTGTTTCTTACCTAAACCATTGACTGGGAGCTAGGTCAAAGTGAGTGAGCAGCTGAGACTTGAGTGGTGTCTACATGGGATGCCAGCATTGCATGTGGTGGTCTTACTGACTGTGCCATGACACCAGCCCCTCTAGACAGCACTTCTAATCCCTCGTCACTGTGTTGTGTCTACCTCTGGCTGCTGTTGGGTGAGTGGATTCCTTTCTGGAACCTCCTCGCTGGACTTCTTGACATCCTGCACATGGCAGTCATGTCTCACGTGAGGTGCTGACGTCTCCCAGTCATGAGCAGAGTTAAAAAAAAAATTAAATTAAATTAGAAAAACGCATTTGGCTGAAACACACTCAGGCCATTGGCTACCAGGGAAGGGCTGTTTGCCATTTTGAGTTATCCGGCTATTTTGATTTTTGATCAATTTAAGATGTGGCTCTACACGCACCCTTGTTTAGAAGGAACATTTTGTCCCATCTTATCCCCAATCTGACTTTGTGATACTTTATGATGTCTTCCTCTTGGAGGAGTCATAGAATTCTCAAAAAATTCCCCCAAACGAATGACTTGGAATGACTTGGAAACTGTCGTTGGCAGCACAAGTGAGTATGTGGCTGTCGCAGAGCTGGAGGACTGACCGGGAGAGGATGACACCGTGATGGGTGGGCACTGTGGCATAGGAGAGGGTAGCGCTCTTGGGTGCCACACCCCTGTGCCCACTTCCCCAGCTCTGGGAGTCCCGCACTGCTGGTGCAGAAGAAAAGCCATGGCCATACTGCTGGCCAAGGCCAGGGCTCCCAGACTTCCTGGTGTGTTTATTAAAAGGGGCTTCCGAGGAGTGGCTCAGGGCTGCTGGGGAAGGGCAGACACAGAGGACAGTCAGCTTATTATGATGCCAGAGAGAGCTTGTCTTAATATTTGAGTCTAGGAAATATCATGATCTGTGAAGAATGTCGCCCCCACAAAGCACACGACCTTTCACCATGTCCCGGGTCATGGCTTGTGTCAGGGTCGGTCTTGTGTCAGAGAGGCTGCTGTGGGAGCAGCCCCAGGAGGGAGATGCTGACAAAAGCTGGGGCGGCAGCTTCTGGTGCCTCCACAGTGCCGAGGTTCTTCCTCGAGTCACTGGACAGCGCACACCCTGGTCCCAGCCTCTCTGTTAAACTATCTAAGCCTCTGGGAACTATCTAACCTCGAGCCACTGAGAACATCACTTGTAACACAAATTGCACTAGAAAGGAAAATATAAAGTGGAGCTGCTCTTTGTCAATGGTGGGACTAAAGGTTACACCAGAGGTACAGACAGAAGTGAATGAGATGGAGTCACTTCCCCAGAGTGACCAGCCATGTAGGGAAGCAGTGGCTGGTTCAAGTGGCAGAGCACATGGGAGACATGGAAAGTGCCAGGTGCATGTGATCCAGTAGCAGCATCACCAGACTGTTGGGAGACTTCATTCTTATAAGTGGTCCTGAGCTCACCGGGCCCACAGAACAGAGAAGACCCCTTCCACATGGAGCCACCAGTGAGATCCAGGGTGGGTAGGAGAATGGAAAACAGAAGTTCTGGCCCAAACTGGGGTATAGGAGGGAGTCAGGAACCTCAAGATAGGGAGTGAGGCCCTGCTGATGAAGGGAATAAGTTGAAAGTTAATTCTGAAATGATAGATAGGGCTCAAGGGTGAGTGATATGTGAGTTCAGTGGGTGTTGGTGAACTGATCTAGAAACATGACGCCAATCCAGGTTGTCATGGGACTTGGGCTGGAGGAAGTGCTAAGGCTCACAGAGGAAGCCCAGGGAAGAGACCAACAGATCAGCTACTTTGAATGGCCAAGGCAAAGAAGGAGGGTGGCATTGTAGAAAGAAGGAATGGCATCAACAAGACACCAGATATGCAATAGCATGGTCAAGGCTAACCATGTCATATGTATGGCTTGGTGCAAAGTGAAAGCACGGAACCCCCTTGTTTGAAAAGCAAGGTAAAAAGGAAAGGAAAGGAAAGGTAGTAAATATAAGGCTATGTGTGTGTGTATGTGTGTACATGCCTACATTTCTCCCCTTGTAGTGGTTTATTTGGTATTTTATGCTGTCGGCAAAGAAATATCAAAAACTCAAACACTAGCCTAAATTTTACATTCGTCTTTATATTTTGCAGTGTTAGTTTTAACCACAAATGTAGTTGTCCCTCAGTATCCACTGGACTGTTTCCGACTCCTCTTAGATACTGAAATCTTCAGACTCATCTCTTATGTAGGAGCTCATACTACTTGCATATAACCCATGCCCACCCTTCATTTCTAGGTTACTTATAATAGCTATTACATTGTAAATGCTATCTGAATAGTGACCATACTATATTAATTGTGGAATAATGCCAAGAAAAAAAGTCTGTACATGTTTAGTACATGAGAAATTTTTTTCAAATACTTTGAATCCATGGTTGGTTGAATCAGCAAATATAGAATGTGTGATCTTTATTTTAAAGCACAAATTCAAGGGTAAAATTCTTAAGGCAAGGACAGGGAAGCATGAAACCAAGAGTGTTGACTGACTGCATAGGTCAGACAGCCAAAAAGCCAGCCCTGGCCCAGGCACCCTGAGGAATGCCAGCTGTTGCATGGGCCTGAGAGATCCCAAGCTGGCAACCAAGGGGCCCCGTTCACCTCAAGAGGTGTTTTCATGTTCCTGAATGTTAGAGCCTTCTAGCCCGCTGCTCTGCCAGCTGGCCACCACTTCTGTGGCCGCTCACAGTCTGAACCTCAGCCTGCCCAGCCCCTGGGGGCATTCAGGCAGGCAGAGGGTGAGATGTGAGGGTGGCCCTGCAGAAGGGGCTGCAGTGCTGGGACAGGGACTCGGGACTTCCCATGGTGGCTGGAGATGCTCCATCAGGGAGAGTGTACGCAGAGGTCATGTTGGGAAAAGCAGCTCGAGGACAAGTAGACAGCAGGACAGGTTAGAAGAGGGCTAAGAAGAGCCAAGAGAGCAACTGACAGAATTGAAGTGATCCAGGCAAGGAGCGCAGAGGTGCAGAGGAAGGGCTGAAGGGTGAAGAGGTGGAAACCGACAGATGAGAGCCAATAGCCAACTGGAATATGGGGGAGGGGAGAGATGTCACAGATAACCCAGGTTCTGACATGGCAGATGGGTGGTGTGCCGTGCCTTCCTCTAGTCAGGAAGTACAAAAGAAGCAAATATGAAATTGATAACCCAGGAGACACCCAGGAAACAAGCACAGCATGCCTAGAACCAAGATCTCAACTAGAGTCATCAGCAAAAGAAGGGAAAGGGCTGAGAGGGGAGCTTACTGGAAAGTAGTGAGGCAACAGCATAGAAGAGAAACCAACCCAAGAGCAGAGCTGGGGAAGGATACCTGGGGAGGTGGGTGTCAGGGAGTGGAGTCTGCCCCTGAGAGAAGGAAGGCCAGGGAGGGGCGGTGCCAAGCTGGCCCACAGAGAAACTTCCTTAACCAGAAAAACGGGGTGAGAACATCACCACTAGGTGATGCCAGGCATTCCGGGCAGCAATCAGGAGGAGTTGGGGAGCACCTTTTGTGGGTGAGGTCAAGTGTGTGCCTTATCAGGGGGCTCAGAGGGCAGGAGAGGTTCTGGTTTGTAGATTTCTTCTTTTAGGGTGCCATTTGTGTTTCTGGTACCCTTTGAAGCAGGGTCAGCTGGTTCCAGGACCACCGATGATTAGATGAGCTGATTCCTGGGCAGTGCTTGGTGGACATAAGCTGGTTCCATTGCCGTCATGCTGGGCAGTGTGCTCTGGGCAGGCTGGAGGAGCAGGCCCTCTGAACAGTCCGCTTCCCTCACCATCTGACATTCCACCGAGGAGGAGGCGTGAGCACGCAGCGGCCCCTCCTCACAGCTGCCCCTGGCTGCCAAGGCTGGGAGCGCCTCCTCCCTGTGTGGTGCCCTTCTGGCCTCAAGGCTTCCTGACCTTGTGCCTTGATCCTGTCCTCAGGTGTTCTGATATCACAGACATGTGTCTTGCTGCCCATGCCTGAGCTGCGCAGCCTGCACGGAGCTGGCCAGGATCTGGTCCAAGGGCCCAGGTGTCAGGACCGCCAGGCTGTGCAAGCGGGGGCTCTTCAAGGGCCAAGAAGCTGACTCCTTCTGTATCAGTTTCCTATGCCACAATCCCCCAGAGATGTCTTCCAGGGCTAACACTCAAAGTGCCAGAGGCGTGCTTCTTTCCAGAGGCTCCAGGATGGAATACTTCCTTTTCTGGCTTCTGGGGACTGCCAGCACTCCTTGGCATGTGGCCACTCATGTCAGGCTCCATATCCACTCGTCACATGGCCTCTTCCTCGTCGGTGACTGGATAATCTCCTGCCCTCCCCATTACAAGGAAACTTGTGGCTGCACTCACAGCTCACTCAGATCATCTAAAACCATCTCCTCACTTGAAGACACTTGCCTAAATCCCATCAGCAAACTGCCTTTTGCCATATAAGGTCATATTTACAAGTGTTGGGATTAGGACCTGGCTCTTCTTGGAGGCTGTTTTTCAGTCTACAATGCCATGCTGTGCCTAGAGCAGGTTCTGTATGGGGCACCCTTGTGAGGTAGGCAGAGCATGAATTCTACTTGATTGCAGAGGTAAATGAAGCCTCTCTCATATAATGGAGACCACCCAGACTGTGGAGTCAGCGGCAGGGCCAAGCCCCATCAAGGCCAAGCCTCTGACTTCCAGCTGGGGCCCTTCTCCAGCCCCATATTAGGGACCTGCATCGCAGAGATGGGATTAGGTGGGGGAGAGGTGCTTTCCTGGAGCAGCCCAGGCCATCAACGATTGGGGAAGCTTTGGAGAATTTCCTGTGTTTGGCCTGAGAGGTGGCAAGGCTGTGGCAACCCCAGTAGCTGTGGCCCTCACGTGGCAGTTTATGGTGCTTGGGGCATGGGCTTTGGCTGTCTGTGAGACACAGAGCTGTCGTGCTTCTGGGCCTTGCCAGGGGAAAGGGGCACCTAGCTGCCCCTCCCTAGGAATGGCATGTGAGGGCCTGCCTCCCCAGACTCAGGGCATGAGGTGTGGCTCCTCCGCTGGCAGTCACGGCCCCGTTCTGTGCCAAGGAATGAGATACTTCCCATCAGATCTCTGCTGCCAGGGCTCAGAAACTCCGCTATTTTATTACTCTGAACAGATGAGCTCAGTTGGGGTGTTGGGGAGGAGATTCTGTTGTTTGTTTCCCAGAGACGGCATCTCTTCCCCACTTTATCACACTAGAACTTGTATGCCCTACACTGAGCCACCTAAACCTGGACAACTGCACCCAGCTACGGGACCCATCTGCAAACCAGGGCTAGTACCACGTCCACGCCAGCTTACACCAGAACTGGAGCCGTGGGTGCAGCTGCTGCCCCTGTCGTGTCAGCTGTGGGTTTGGGCTCCTTTCTCAGGGGCGGTATAGTACATAGCAGAGATAGGATCCTCTTAGAAGTGGGGTAGGTCTGGAATGTAGAGAGTCCTGAATATGAACCATATGCCCTCATTACTTTTGTCCTGAGTGTCATGGACAGGTCTTGTCTCTGCTGCCCTTCTGTGCTACCAGTCTTGATGACAGGTGCATTTGAGGAGGCTGAGAGGGCAGGATCCATGTGGCTTTTTTTTTCTTCTTCCATGGACTTCTTTGTGTCTCCTCTGCAGCCTACTAGTGAGCAGTCATGTGTGACTTCAAAACTACTCAAGGCATTGCCAGGAATAATATCTCACGGTAGCCTTGTAGGCTTGCAGCTTAGTCTAGAAGCTGGTGTAATACAAGTGCCCTTTAGGACCTGGTTGGGTACCAGGCCACTCCAAGGAACCACTCAAGAGGGTTGCTTGCTGGGTTCCTATGCCCCAGTGAGATGGAGTGAGGTCTTTACACGGGAACCTCATACCCCGTTCCTTCTACCCTTCAGCAGGGGCCTTGGCATCCTGCTCTCAGTAGTGACAGAGAATGGCCTCAGGCTGGCAGGTGGGTCTCAGTCATGGTTTCTGCAACGGCCTGGAACTCTGCAGCTGGTGCCTGGTCTCACCTAGCACAGCACATCTTTTAGTCCAACATCAGACCACCTGCTGGTAGCCATGACCTCCAGGTACACTGAGGAGAAGCCCCCTTGGGTGCTTATGCCCTGGTTAGGGGTAGGCATGGAGAGAGGAGAGAGATGCACACACACACCCTGGTGATGGCTCCTATAAGAGAGGATATGCAGGGCACCATGGAGCAGGATAGAATGGACCAGAAGGACAGGGTGGCTTTCTAGGAGAGGCAGTGGTGTCAGAATAACACTTGGGATTTGAGGATCTTGAGGAATAGGATTGAGAAGTCTGAAAACAATGGAGCAAAGCATGGGGAGCATGAAGACAGCCCAGGCTAGGGACAGTGAATGACTCTGCAGGGGTGAAAGGTGGAGACAGTGCTGGAAAATACGTGGGACAGGGTGTGCAGGGCTGTTCCAACCAACCGAGGTGGGGATGAGTCAGTTCAGTGCTTGTCGGGGGATGGCACCAGCAAATCTCTTCACACCTTGCCTACCTCTCTCTCACCAGGAAGGTGCAAGGACACGCTTTCTACAATCACAGGGCCCACAACCCAGAACACGTATGGGCGGAACGAGGGGGCCTGGATGAAGGACCCCCTGGCCAAGGACGATCGGATTTATGTGACCAACTATTACTATGGCAACACCCTGGTGGAGTTCCGGAACCTGGAGAACTTCAAACAAGGTCAGTTCAGGTGGCCTCTTCCGTACCCCACTATCCTCTGACTTCATCAAGGCCAGCCTCCCCTTTGGGTGGTGATGGTAGGCAACTCTTGGCAGCTTACACAGCATACTCTTATATTAGCACCCTCGCTACTTGAAACAGCTCAGTGAGGCAAGTGGGCTTTGTTATTACTTTCCATTTTTATCTCCTCATTTTCTTTTTTTCCATGTGGGAGACAGAGATCTTCCATCAGCAGATTTACTCTCCAAATGCCTCTAAAAGCTAGGCCCGGGCCAGGAGCTTATTAGAACTCGATCCAGGTATTCTACCTGGCGGCAGGGACCAGAGCACTTGAGGCATCTCTGATGCCTCCTAACATGTAAATGAGCAGGAAGCTGGATGGGAAGCAGATTAGCCAGACAGTCTGATATGGGATGTGGGTATGCCAAGCAGCACTTTAACCACCATGCCAAATGCCCACCTGGGGCTTTTTCTTTTGTTTGTAATGGGTGAGAGTGCTGAGGTGCAGGAGGGATGGGCGATTTGCTGTGTAACATTAAGCAGAGCCGAGATGGAAACCCTGGTCTCCTTACCCCACATGGACGGTTGCTTGTTGCCTTATCCTGAAGCCTCCTGCCTGCTCACTGCCCACAGGTCGCTGGAGCAACTCCTACAAGCTCCCATACAGCTGGATCGGCACGGGCCATGTGGTGTACAACGGGGCCTTCTACTACAATCGGGCCTTCACCCGCAACATCATCAAGTACGACCTGAAGCAGCGTTACGTGGCTGCCTGGGCCATGCTGCATGACGTGGCCTATGAGGAGGCCACCCCCTGGCGGTGGCAGGGCCACTCGGATGTGGACTTTGCCGTGGATGAGAATGGCCTGTGGCTCATCTACCCAGCCCTGGACGATGAGGGCTTCAGCCAGGAGGTCATTGTCCTCAGCAAGCTCAACGCTGTGGACCTAAGCACGCAGAAGGAGACCACATGGCGCACGGGGCTGCGGCGGAACTTCTACGGCAACTGCTTTGTCATTTGCGGGGTGCTATATGCGGTGGACAGCTATAACCAGCGCAACGCCAACATCTCCTATGCCTTTGACACCCACACCAACACGCAGATCGTCCCCAGGCTGCTGTTTGAGAATGAGTATTCCTACACGACCCAGGTGGACTACAACCCCAAGGACCGTCTGCTCTACGCCTGGGACAATGGCCACCAGGTCACCTACCACGTCATCTTCGCCTACTGACACCATTGTCCCTGGCACCACAACCGCAGAGGGGCCGATTGCACCTTGGGTGTGCGTGTGTGTGTATGTGCGTGTGTGATATGTCTGTGTGTGATGGGTCTGTACTGTTTCAAAATATATATTATTTTGTATAATATTAACAAATGTAAAATGACACTCGGGGTCTATTTTTTTTTTAATGTGGGTTGTAGATCAACCCACGCGTGTATGTGCTGGTCTCATCCTCCACAGGTTCTATTTTTGTGCAGATGAACTTCTCCTTTTGACCAGGGATCACCTTTCTTCCGGCCCTCAAGCCCTCCGACTCCCGCAAGGTCACTGTTGGAAAGGTGTCTTCCCCTGGGGTCCTGCAGGTGGACAGCGCCAGGAGGGGGAATGCAGGGAGCCAGAAAGGAGTACCGCATGGCGGGGAGGGTGGGGGGAAGTTTCTCTATTGGAGAAGTTTGAAAAGCCCAGAAAAAAATCCTCTTTTTTTTTTTTTTAATAAAGAAATTTAAACATCCACCATCAGTGCATTTTTGTTGAACACAATGTGTCAGCCCAACGTTCAGTTCTTCTCCCAGAAGGGAAAAGGTTTGGTAGTGTGCCACCCGGGAGTTCTGTACACTGCATGCATCCCAGGTCAGTCCCCTGCTGAGGAGTCAGCTTCCCCAGGAGGGGATTAGCAAGGACCTGAGCCTCCACTTGGATTTCCCTTCCTTTCTCTCTCACCATCACACTAGCCTCTTTGCTCTGTTCTGCCTGTGTTTGGGTCATTAACCCAGGATGGGGACTGGCTTTCCCAGGCCTGGTGTTAGGCACTGTTGAAAACACCAGGCTCAGTTAGTGTGCCCTGGCCCTGCCCTTCCTTAGCAAGCTTTCATTCAGACTGACTGTCTCTTTCCTCCCCTTTCTCTCCTCAGCCTCATCCTGCATGTTCCCCCTCAGCCCAGTTTCCCTTCCCCACCCTTTCCTTTCTAGTAAAGGGGCCGAGTTTGGACACAAGGCTTCCCTCCTCCCTCTTCTGTCAAGAGACAGAAGAGTTACAGCCCTCCCAGGTCAGGCCTGAGCCCTGAGCAGTCCCTACTGTCCCAGTGGATTCTTCCCTGGGAGGCACACAAAAAAGGTGAAGGAACTTAAGCAGGTGTCTGCTGAGGTGGAGAAGGGAGAGCCTGGGCTGAACTGGGGAAGCAGGTGCATTGCCAAAAGCTCCCACATGGCAGGCGACTTCCCATCCCTCTGCCTGCTCTGCCCCACCAGCTTCTTGTCCTCACACATTTCCTAAGGCCCAGTGGCCAAATGACTTTGTGATTTGGTCAAGCTTTCCTTGAGCAGATTCTGGCATCATGTGTTTCTAGTGGCAGAAGGGCTACGAGGAAGCAAGTGTTCCCAGAGCTCAGAAGGGGGAGAGTGGAGAAGCCTGTGGCCAAGGTCTAGCTTTGCTAGAGCAAGAAAGAAGCAAGTGTCCGCTTCTGACACTCCCACAGAAGTGGTGCTTCTGCCAGGACCTGGGGTGTAAAGCATAGCAGGGACCCAGGACTGAGCCCTGGGAGTGCCCTGGAAGGGACTGGGGTTGAAGCTTTACAGAGACACTGTCTGCTCAGCCATCTGCCTACCCACCCAACCACAAAGGCATATCTGCCTTGCTGGGGCCCCCAGCCAAGACTTGCTCCATACCTCCCATGTCGGGACCTCACTGCTAGCTGGCTGCACGGAAGCCACTGCAGCATGTGGGTCCCTTGCAACCTGTGCTCATCCTCCAGTTTTTGATCTTCACTGCAGTTTATATCGGAGCATATCAAACAGATCATGGAAAATGGGATCAAAGTATGTTCTTTTTGGGACAAAACTTTTTGTTGAAGTTATTCTTAAGATTTATCTTTGTCAGTAAGGGAGAGCTACAGAGAGAAGGAGAGACAACAAAACATCGTCCATTCATTGGTTCACTCTCCAAATGGCCATGATGGCCAGGACTGAGCCGATCTGAAGCCAGGAGTCAGGAGTTTATTCCAGGTCTTCCATGTGGTGGCAGGAGCCCAGGGACCTGGGACATCATCCCCTGCTTTCCCAGGTCATAAGCAGGAAGCTAGGAGGAAATTGGAGCAGCTGGAACACAAACCAGTTCTCAGAAAAGATACCAGTGCTTGCAGTTGGAAAAATTAATCATTTTAAAATTTTTATTTTTTATTTTATGATACAATTCCATAGGCTCTAGAATTTCCCTGGCCCCCTCTCTAAAGTCCTTCACTGTTCTCACCAATATCCCCCATAGTTTGACAATTGTTTAGTCCTTTGATAAGCAGTCATAAGTCCATCATTCTGCGATCTAAGCATATCCTGACATTATAGGGACAATGGCACAGAGTCCAGCATCTTATTGTAAAGGTATATATAACAGTTTCATTGTGAGTCTATCTTTAGTTTGGAAGTAGAGATGCATACTGCATGTATCCTCACATCTGGACATGATAGTCCTTATTACACAGTTACCATACATTCCTTTAAAGGAATGGCCATACAACAAAATCAACAATAGGAATAAAGTTAAAAATTTTACAACACCAGCAAGTTAAATAACTTGCTACTGAATGACCAATGCACTGATGAAGAAATGAAAAAGAAAGCAAAAAACTTTCCTGGAGAAAAATGATGCTACTGTATGATCTGTGAATCATTGCAGAATTTAACAATAGAAAAGAAACTATTTTGAAGAAATGAAAATAAAAACAAAATGGCAAAACCTATGAGTTGCTGTAAAATCAGTATTGAAAGGGTTACTGATTCTGTCTTTTGCATGGAGGCTGCTTTATATCACAGAAAATATATGGTATTTGTCCTTTGGGGACTGACTTATTTTGCTGAGCATAATGGTCTATAGTTGGGACCTTTTGGTTGCAAATGGTAGAATTTCATTCTCTTTAATGGCTGAGTAGTATTCCATGAGTACATATACCACAATTTCTTTATCCACACCTTTTTGACAAGCATCTGGGTTGTTTTATCTCTTTGCAATTGTAGATTGTGCTGCTGTAAATACAGAATTACAGATCCCTTTCTTATACGCAGATTTCATTTCCCTTGGATCTATTTCCAGAAGTGGGATAGCTGGATCATTCAGCAAATTTATTTTCAGTTCTCTAAGCGCTCTCCAAACTGATTTTCATAGTGGTTGCACTAGTCTACACTCCCATCAACAATGAAGGAGGGTGCCTTTCTCCCCACATCCATGCCACTAGGTGTTGTTAGTAGAGTTCTGATTGCAAGCCAATCTCACTGGAGTTAGGTGAAACCTCAATGTGGTTTTCATTTGTATCTTCCTGATGACTAGGAAGCCTGAGCATTTTTTCACATGTCTTTAGCCATTTGAATTTGTTCTTTTGAGAAATGTCTGTTCATTTCCTTCACCCATTTCTTCACAGGGTTGTTCGTTTTGCTGTCGCTGAATTTCTGAAGCTCTTTGTAAATCCTGTATATTAGTCTTCTATCGGTTGTGTAGTGTACAAAGATTTTTCTCCCATTCTGTTGGCTGTTTCTTCATTTTGTTGATCATTTCTTTTTCTGTACAGAGCTTTTTCGTTTGATGTAGTCCCATTTGTTTCTTTGTCCTTGACTACCTGTGCTATTGGTGTCTTTTTATCATCATCATCATTATTATTATTACATTGCATTATGTGACACCGTTTTTTAGGCACTGGATTCCCCCTATGCCTCCCCTACTAATTCCATGACGTGGTGGATTGTTGTGGATGTTATGTTGGGGCTACTGGTGTCTTTTTCAAGAAGACTTTCCCAAATCCTGTATCTTGGAGAATGCTAGGCAGAGCTACCACACCTGTGTGCCTCATGTGGACTAGATCAGGGAAAAGCCGGGCTGGGCGGATTATTCCTACTGGTGCAAACAAAATTAAAGTGGGAGAGGGTTGTTTGGGCTTAGACGCAGCATCAGCTGGAATCTGGGAGTGGGAGAGGCCTGGGAGGGAAATAGTGGGCTCATCCATCTTGGGTTACCACTTCCACAGGAGGACATAAAACTTAAATAGCGGCTGGGGTGGAATGGGGTGTGGGACAGACTGGATTACTGCTACACTTACTGGCAAATCAGGGTAGGGGGTGGGCCTGGTGGGGGTTATTGTGGATTGCTCCAACTAGGCTGCAGCTCCCTCTGGTTTATGTGAGGGCCAAGTATGTGCTGGGCAGAACCAGGCTGGACTGCAACACCCATTGGTTCCAGTGGAAGTCGGGAGTGAAAACAGAACCAACCCAACAATTGCAACCACCAGCTGATTGGAGCGATGGACGGTGCCAGGCCCTGTACATGTTAGCACATACAAGAAGTTTCTTTGGAGATCTTCCTAATCTAAATGCTGGACTCAGAACCCTAACGAAGAAAAGAGAGAAGACAGAACGGGTCAACCAACCATCTCAGCTATGATGGACTATGTCAATCAGTGGATTTTTCAAAGACCTCATAGTGCTTGGAGTGGCAAGATTGACAGTGATTCATAACTGGTGAACTATCAAAACCACTTGAGCAAGAACCTCAGAGCATGCCCTACATCCGGGACCTGGGGAGGGTGGGAAATTGAGTGGGCCTTCTCCCTTAATATCCCCCTTTAAACATGAAGGTAACAATATGGAAAACATACTAGTATTATCCACTTTCCTGTAGCCCTTGAAACTTCTTACCCTAATTAACTATGTAAAGAATGTCAAAATAAAATAGTTTTGTGTTTTCTGGGTGCAGATTTTGGTCCTTGATCCACTTAGAGCTGATTTTTGTGTGGGATGACAGGTGGGGGTCTTGTTTCTTACCTCTGCAATCTGCTATCCAGTTATACCAACAGCATTTTAGACCAGACTTTTTCCCTGGATTGTTTTCAGTTTTCTTGTCAAAGATTATTTGGCTATACATGTGTGGGGTACCTTCCTGGGTTTCTATTCTGTTTCATTGATCTTCTCTGTTTCTGTATCATTACCAGACTGTAGTATGTCTTGAGGTCTGGAATTGTGATTCCTCCAGCTTGATTTTTATTATTTCAGGATTGCTTTGGCTATTCGTGGTCTCCTGTGTTTCCAGATGAACTTTTTTTTTTTAAATTGGAAAGGCAGATATACAGAGAGGAGAGACAGAGAGGAAGATCTTCCAATGATTCATGCCCCAGGCGGCCGCAACGGCTGGAGCTGAGCCAATCTAAAGCCAGGAGCCTCTTCCAGGTCTCCCACGCGGGTGCAGGGTCCCAAGGCTTTGGGCCGTCCTCAACTGCTTTCCCGGGCCACAGGCAGGGAGCTGGATGGGAAGTGGAGCTGCTGGGATTAGAACCAGCGCCCATATGGGATCCCGGGCGTGCAAGGCCTTAACCACTGCGCCACCGCGCCGGGCCTTCCAGGTGAACTTTGTATTTTCTTTTCTATTTCTGAGAAGAATGTTGGGATTTTGGTTGGGATTGCATTAAATCTGTATATTACTTTTGGTAATATAGACATTTTTATTATGTCGATCCTGCCAATCCAGAAACG